CGAGCGCACCTGCGCGGGCAGCGACGCACCTGCGGCTCGAAAGATGCGCCTCGGCCGCTTGCGCGCGCAGCTCGCCCCCCTCCCCCCCCCGGGCCGTGAGGTGCCTTCCCCGGGTGGGCGCGCACGGCCTCGCTGCGCCCGCAAAGCGGGGACCCGCCGCACTGCGGAGCCTTCTTAATCTCTCCCCTTCATGCAACAGGAAGAGGAGCGGGGGGGGGGATTCAAATCTTAGGGCTCCCCCCCTTCACTCCTCATGACATCAGGCGAGCCCCTGCTCCATCCCCTCCGCCCTAGGGCCAAGGGTCCTGTTTGCAGCCTCCTCCTGCCCCGGCAACGCCTCCCCGGCCCTCGGCTGCCTCGTCGTTTCCTCCATCTGAAATCACAGAGGCCCGTCACCTAGCAACCATGGCCGGGATCTCAAACAAACCCCGGGATGGTGTAAGCTGCTGCTCCCAAGCCCTGCCTGCCCGAGGAGATCCCTGCCGCTGAAGGATGCCACCCACCAGGGGCTCCTTCCCTTGCTGCAGCTGTGACAGTAAAGACCCCTCCGGTGGCAAGGCTGGGACCTCCCAGGTAAGGGGCATCTAGCTACCTCTGCTCGCCATCGGGACTTTACGCTGCGTAGCGATGAACCAGATCCAAGGAGCAAGGCAGGGTCGTGTTTATCATGCCCGACTCCCCTTCATCTTGATCCTGGCTCCCTCTTCCCTTCCTTTCCCTAAAGCGCGTGTGATCCGGTTAAACTGGGAGCTCTCTCAGCCCAGACCTCTTGCCAACCCTTGACCTCGGATGCAAGCAGGCGGAGCAATTGTGTCCGCACCTCTGCCGAAATGCATCTGCCTCTGGGGTGGAACGCAGCAGCTCTTGTACACGGGATGGCAACATTCAGCAACAGGTTGATAAGAAGGAATTTAGATTGTAGGGAGAAGGGGGCAGAGAGAGCTGTGAATATAATTCCCCAGCTTAGACTCTGTCCTACAGGAGGGATCATATCTTTGCTCCTGTGAAAGGTACCATGGGGAACCCAAATCCAGCGGCTGCTTGTGAAAATGCCGACCTCGGTTTCCTCTCTTTATAGGCTGTGCACATAACACAGGCCATACTTTTTTGAAGTGTGCCTGCAAATCACATAATGTAGCAGAGGAAACTCAAGGACAATGCAGTGCACACAAATACTTCAACTCCCCTTCTCTATAAACTGTAGAGAGTTCGTATCAGGGTGCAATTTTAAAATGAGCTTTTTGGCATTTTAAAACTGCCTGGTACACATTCCTCAGGGTGCTGCTGTAATAACAGGGAGCATAAATTTATGCTGGGTGCAGCTGTACAGAGCTCAATGCAAGATCTGAGCCTGAGTTAGCATCGTTTGATACCATAGCGCTGAATGGCTTTGGGCACAGCCTGGTTTAGACTGATTGCCTAGACAGCATTAATAAGCACAGAAAAGGTCCAAAATCCCACAGCGTTGATCAAGATAATCCAGGACAGAATCTCCCTAGCAGAAGAACAAGGAATACTAGCAAGCAGAAGGGGTTTTACAGATATCTAAACTGCAAGACAGAGGTTTGTTATGGGCAATCACTGGAAAGGTAGCTGGGGAGCATTCCCTTGCAACTAAAGCCTCTGTTACAAGTCCTGGTAGTCTGAACAGTGCTGGGGGAGATGCCTTCCCTTTAAAAAGCAAAAGCCTATCTGGAGCATCTCTTACAGCGCTTTTGGGATCCCCTGCACAGCTCTAACAGCATGTAAGGGCAATGCCTAGACATACCTCCTGCAGTAGCACTCTCTAGGCCGATGTGCCACACTTGACTACTTTGCACTGGGCATGAGGTTCACCACAGGATGCTCCTGGCAGAAGAGATCTAGACAGCAGGCTTCTCCAAGCATGAACTATTGCCAGTTTTTCCTCTGTTCCAGAGAGGTTCTCTTACTGAGCTCGCTCCCCTTGCCCAGGAGCAGGACCCTTGGAATCGCCTGCATGCAACACCCACCTTGTCTAGCGTCAGGAGGGAAGTCTGGTACCTGGAACCTGGGGTAAGGAGATAGCACTGCTGTACCGTTCTACCCTTCCTATCCCCCCACCCCTCCCAAACAGCTCCCCCCCGCACACAGACTAGAAACAGATGTCGCATTTGTCACAGGACCAGTTGTGTCACGATTCCATCTATTAACATATGCAGCAACTTTCTCTGATCACCTTTGGCAGGTTCCCCAGGACAGCCTGGACTTTAACCTGAGCTCGTTGTATGACCACCACAAGGAGCTGCTCAGAGACAAGAACCAGGTAGTCATCCACAAGGAGACACTCTTTGATGACCATGGGTGAGCACAATCGCATGTTTTTCCAGAGCCCAGACAATAGTGCAGCTACTGCTACAAACAGCTTTTTCGTGCCAACCAGTGTGCCATTCCCCTAAGCTGGGAGGGAGCCAGCAGCTCTGCCACCCCACACGACCTCATATATACGTGGTGCAGCCAACATGGCCTAAGGCTCCAGCTTGTGTCTTGGCCTTTGTTAGCCTTCTGCTAAGTTAAAACCTCAGGCAGTGCCCATCGTTTCCCGCATTCCCCATTGCCATCAGTCTGGAGCTGCTCTTACTTAACTGGGATCTGAAGGAGCCTAGATTCAGCTGCCACCAAGATTGCATGGAAGACCAGCAGCAGCAGCACCTTGAGGCTAGCCTCGTGTCCAAGGCCAAAATGGGATGCAGAGTACCAGAGGTAGGACACAGCTCATCACACCACCAGCTTACCTCAGTCTTGAGAGCACAAGGCAAGAGAAGCCTATGGGATACAATGCATCAGAGCGGGCAGTTCTCTTGATGCCCCCCTTACCATACCATTCAGTTGTGTGGCATATTTATTATACCCAAAAGGGGGATTCAGCCTCCACATGCCATGACTACTTTGGGTCAAAAGAGCACTGGAAAGAGACAGGGGTTTAGAGTCTATATGCCAGGACACAGATCTCCCATATGGAGCTGCTGTCCACATATAGGTGAGGCACTAAAGGGGTTGGGGCTGCTTGCCCATTCCCACAGGCTGCAACTGCCTACCCTGAGGCTCTTGAACATTTTCATTCCAGTTGCACAAATTTCAACCCTGCAGAAAATTAAGTAGGATCAGGACAGCAGCAAGTCCCTTAGCCAGACTGTGCCCAGGCAGGAACCTGCTGGCTACCTCTCCAACTTGCTCTACGAGCAATTCAGGTGCTGGAATGCGCAGTATGGCTTCATTCACACCAACCCCAACTTTGAAAGGACTTAATTGAGAGATACCACAATAGGAATCAGTCATCTGATCACAGGGTGCTAAAGTTTTAAAGCTACTTCTGCTAGAAAAGTCTGGAGTTAAAATACAGACCAGCAAGAAGGATGAACAGTTGAACAAGAGGTATTAGTAGGAAGGAGATCACATTCTCAGCATCATCCAAGAAGTGTCTTCGTTTATCTCGTAAAATCCGTATCTAGCCCCTTGCTGCGGAGACGACCAGTAATAACAAAAGTGAAACTTCAGGATAAGTTTGCTGCTTAAACCTGTTACTAAACTCTCCCTGCCCATAAGTTTCTCTAAGCAAAAAATATTCCCTCTCCCCATTGGTTTTATATCCTGGGCTTCTTAACAAGCTGCATGTAAATCAGCCAACCCAGCAGAACATTACTCAGGAACTTGCTAGCGGCTTCCATCCCTGCAGCAGGGCAGTGACTGGAAGAGCCGTGTCAGCAGGAAGCCAGGGAATCCCAGATCTTACTTCATTTCTCTTGCTAGTCAGACACAGAGGAGGAAGACAGACTGTGTGTTGTGGTTCCTGGCAGCTGGCATCTCCTCACTGTTAGCAGTTGCCAACTCTTATTTTTTTCTTACAAACTTCAGGGTATTTGTGGGGTCTTTCTTCAAGAGCCAGCTTACAGAGCCAGGTGATTATGAGGATCTGAGCTTTCTTTTCTTTTTTTAAATGAAAGTGCCTAGTCCCCTGGCTTTCAGAGGAAAGGTTGAAAGCATGATACAAGTGTGACTTACCAGGTTCAAAACCCACAATGTAAATACGAATTCCTAATATGTAAAACCTCATGGTTGGGGAGCGGGGTGGCAATGGGGCTGACTCATAATTTTTAAAAGCTTGGGACTGACAAAGCACCAATAGTCTCTCTCTGTGCTAATTTCCTATCACATTATTATGCACAAGTGGTTGCTACTAGGGGAGAGAGGCACAATAACATGGCATTTCTCATTCAAAAGATCTGTTCTGCAGTCAGACCCAATAACATGGACAGCTGTGAGCAAGGAGCAGGTTACTGCCTTTGCTGGGATCAGCCCCTAGATGCATTAAATCAGATCCACTGTGTTTTATTTGTGTTATAGTTGCACCCACGTGCCTTGTAAAGAATCCAGGCTGCATAGTGTCAGGTGCTATACACCCCCCGAGAGAAGGGTAGCCTCTAAACAGCATCTAATACATCTCATTGTTCACTACAGAGTACTGAAGGGGCTTGACTCTGTACAGGAACCTAAGCCACTCCCTGCTGAAAGCCGTATGTCCCAGGGACTGCCTACAAGATGCTGGGTCAGCCCAACAAAGGAATCAGTCCACAGCATCAAGGGCACAATCGGTAAGGGCAGTGGGCAGGGGCTGTTCCTTTAATGTGTGAAACGGAGGCATCCTCCTGTAGACAGATGCTCTGCTATTGTCACAGTTGTTTTAAGTATCCTGGTCTCACTGTAGAGTAAAAAAACTGTAAGAAAACTAGGCTGGAATGATTTAGAGACAGGATCCAAGGCACAGATACATTAAGCCTAGCTGTCGGAGGCAATGAGCATCTCCTATTCCAGCTCAAGACAACAGGACATGCATATGCTCAGCCTTGCTAAAAATCAAGCATCATGGGCTTCACCCAAGATGATGCAGGGAGCCTGGGTCAGAGCCAGAAACGCACTGGAGTCAGAAAGGACTCACGGACAAAGTGCTAGGCTGGGAGTCAGGAGACCTAATCAATGCTACCAACCAGCTGCTGTTTTGGGTAATACACCTCCACCTTCTGTGCAAGAAGCAGTGGCAGCAGTATTCCTTTGTAACATACTTTGGATTCTACGAAAAAATGCCCTAGGGGAGCCGAGTGTTCCCATGACCAGTAGCAGAATTTGCTTGGTAATACCTTTTATTGGACCAACTAGAGGGCTGAGAGATGTTAAACAAGTTTTCAAGCAAAAAATGCCCAAGGATAAAATACAGTCTAAACTAAATACCAGGTAGTTTAGACTGTATTTTAGTTCAGACTGCATAGTTGGTCCGAAAGAAGGTATTACCAAGCAAATCCTGCATCTTGGGATTATGGACAGTCGTATCTATAATACCACGGCAGCACCGCTATGACTGCCAGCTACAGTCCCAGCTCAGAATGACGCTACATGAAGTCTGCCCCAGCGGTGCTATTGTAGGACATTTTCAATGCTTGTAGGCCTGACAAGTGCATGCCTCCTTCTTCTTCCAGAGTGCCCACATAACGCTTCCACCAACAGCGGGTACTCCCGCAAAGATAACGGAGGCTTCTTTTCTCAATGAAGACTGCGCCAACCTTTGCCACTGCTGCCGGACTGGATCTTCTTTGGATGAACATAACTCTCATCCCCATTGCATTCTTGTAAAGCCCTTCATTCAGCCAAGCCCACCAAACGAACACAGCTCTGGTATTTTGTTTCCATGTTTTTTTCCTTTCCTTTCTACCTCACCCTTCTCTCCATTCCAGATAAATGCTCCATCCCTCACTATGGAGGCACTGTATGTAGTTGTTCTGGCCCACAAACAACTACTGCACAGAACACATTACACCAGAGGTGGGCAAAATGCAGCCCATCAGGCCATTCTATCCAGCACACAGGGCCCCTAAAAAATTTAGAAAATAAATATTTGTCTGCCCCTGGCTGCCTATCATGCCACCCTCGATGACTTGCCAAAACTCAGTAAGCATCCCTCCGCCCAAAATAATTGCCCACCCCTGCATTACACTATCTCTGCATCTCCAATTTGGCTCCAGCCACCCAACTTTCATCAGGCTAGATTCGAGTAGTCTCAAATTCTGGTGACCCAAACTTCACTCTGGATGGGACATTTCAAAGTTGTGGAGTATCAGTCTCTCCTTGCAAAGCAGCATGTGGCCATTCATGCCTTGTATCAACCTGGGCTACTGAAAATGGAGAAACCTATGATTAAAGCCTACTTTCTAGGACGAGGGTCTCAAACATTAGCAGTTGCTTATTTACTGAAGAACTAGGGATGCTCCATGAAGTGAAAAGGCAGCACATTTAAAACTAATAAAAGGACATGTATTTTCACATTGCACTTAGTGGGACAG